GCATGACAGAGAATGTATACTTATCAAAAGTTTTGCCAGTGCCGTGGAGAAGATTAAACATAGAGCCCAAATGGAAGAGGGATTCCCTATACATGGAGAAGGCCTCTAGAAAGAAGTTCTATTTGCAGATGATAATGGGTTGATTGTTTCAAGTCCTGTAATATTACAAAACCTTCAGAATGAGAGCCTTTATCACATCAAAAAGTTTTGTTCTAACTATCCACACAGGTGAAAATGAGTGAATAGTGCTTGTTTTCCAGACTTATATGCAAGTGAATAAATAGTTCATACAGCAAGTTCAACAGTATGTGTTTCTTGGATATAAAACTGTTAAGTAGCACAGGGCTACTGGGGCTTTGTCCTAGGCTGCCAAAAATTCAAGTAGAGATGGATTTCCTCAATGCAACAGTAAGCTCTGTGGTTCAAGGTCCTTTAGAAGACTGTGAGATGTGGAGCAAGTCAGTACTCTTGCCCGAAGAAACCACACCATTTCCTCCTTCCACCCTCTGAGGATTCTTATCACACTGCTCTCAGAGGTTCACCTTTCCCTACCTGCTATACTTGTATGACTGCATTCTATTGGGGTAGGCTGCCCTTATGCCACCTGGGCTGGGATCCTACCCAACATGATGCATCCAGGATTAGTGGTGATAGTGGCAAATACTGGTTTTGGGTTGTTCTGAGGTCTTTCATGCCACCCTCTCTGACTCAAATTTGCCCCAGAATTCCTTCTTACAGTAATGCTTGGACAGACACCACAGATGGACAAACAACTAGGCTCTGAGTTGAAGAGGAAGTTAGTGGCCTGGACTGCATTTTTGGTTTTAATGATCCCAAGTTTTTCCCTGAAAAGGACCATCTTTTTAACACCAATATTTTCCCAGTGATGCTATCTGGTAACAAAGCTGCAAATAGCAGTCTCTGAAGAATTTAATTGCAAGATCACTCAAAATATAATGAGATTCATTGTGAGCATGAGAATGTTGCCTCTTAGTTGCTTTGGTGTTTCAAACCTGAATGACTCTGAGGATGGTTTCCATCAACAGAAATTTTTGAGGGTTATTTAAGTTTTTTTCTTTTTAGGCAATTGCGGTTAAGTGACTTGCCCAGGGTCACACAGCTAATAAGTGTCAACTGTTTGGTCTGAGGCCAGATTTGAACTAAGGTCCTCCTGACTTCAGGGCCAGTGCTTTATCCACTGTGCCACCTAGCTGCCCTGAGGGTTAATTTTTGAGAGAAAGGTAAGTTCATGTTTGGGTACAGTATCACAGAATTTAGAGCAGGAAGAGACCTTAGAAATAATTTTCTAGACCAGTGGTGTCAAATTCAAATAGAAATGAGGGCCACCAATCTATCCACATACTGGGGTCCACATATTGACAGTTTTAAAATGCACTGTTATCTACATTTTATAGTATTTTTACAATTTTTTGTCCCAGTTAATTTTAATCTGGTTCAGGTCACACTCGGGAATGTTATGGGTTGCCTGTACACTGCTCAGGGAGTATTTGACACCTCTAATCTAGACTAACTCCCTCTAAACAGAATTTGAGTGACTTGCACAGGTAGGAGATTTGAACTCAAATCTTCAAATTCCAAATCTAATGCTATTTGTGTTACACATTGCTGTTGAATTTGAGGGGCAACAAAGACATCCTGATGTTACTATCCAGTAGGCAGTTGGGCACAGAAGTAGGGAGAGAGATTTATGGGTAGAAATATTGGTTTTGGTGACATCTACATGGTAGTGATAACTGAATCCATAGGAGTGGGTAAGATCACCAAGAGAGAAAGTGTATAGATCTTCTCTTCCTAGTGATATTATAGGCTACAATTTTGCTATATACTTCATTTGTATCCCTTAGTAACTATGATGTATACTATAAATAGAAGGTCCTTAATAAGTGCAGTAAGTCAATCCCCTATCAATGCCTCTCTATATCTGTCTTCTTAATCTGTGTTCTCCACTCAAAACTTTGGAGCCCTCTTTGATTTCTTGCATCTCCCTTGTGGCTTTTACCCAATCAGTCATCAACGTACCCAATACATTATCTATCATATAGCTTATCGCATCAATTCATATATATATACAAATCAAATCATGTTCCATGAACTATTAAAATCATAGACAATAAATGTCCAATATAACATGGTTAGTCCACCAATATCAATATTAGAAAGGAATTCCACTGAAACGTATATAGAATTCAGGATAAATATGGGACTGAAGACTCATTGCTAAAAGAAGTGCTTTAAAGGGATGCTTCTTTTTTTTTAAATATTAAAAAGATAATTTATTCAGTTCACACACTCTTTTAGAATTATATCAAGAACACCAAATGTTACCAAAATAATTCACCTATATTTCTCACCTTGCTGACATAATTTTAGAAGCTATTTCTCAAATGTTGAGATAGTGAGTCAAGAAATGGCCATTCAAATATGAAGACAAGCATAAGGAGCTTTCATTTCTAAGTTTCACAATGACTAGGGAGCATTTTAAATCTCTCACATTGGAATAGTCCATCTGTCTTACTCCTTTCGTTTTCCCTCATTAAACAAGCAAACAAAAAACACAGGCACTCTATAAGACACCTACTAAATGTCAGCTACTAAAGAGGTCTAGGATCTAATTTGCAAATGAGGAAATTACTTAAATAATCTTATTTTTTGCAACTAGGGGTTATTTTATATTTTTTATTTTTTTTACTATTAGTCAATAAACAAAGGCAGTTTGGAATGAAAGTAAATCTCTAAATATAATTATTTTATCTTAGGTACCAAATGTTATTTCTACTGTATAACAAAAATCATGGCAAAACTAAGAGATTTTGTGACTTAAAAAAACCAGAGAACAAGGGCAATTTTGTTGATACTCAATATAATGTCTTATTCTAGATATTTATAGAGATTTTAAGTATAAAAATACTCTTTACAACAGAAGCATATAAATGGACAAGAAAAAATGTTTCCTACTTCTCTCATATCTAATCTAAATGTTCAAACCTCTGAGATGTTATGTTCAGGACTCAATTACATAAAAGAGAGATTTAAGTGTACAGGTGTAACTGTAGCAAAATATGGTATGTAAAATTAGGATGAAAACCACCTTAGAGATAAGTCTAAGTTGACTCACCAGTCCATTTTCCTCTCCCCATCCCAATTACATATCCAGTTCTAAGTAAACTTAAATAAAATGTAAGCTTTTACACCAATCAAGTCTTCGAGTAAGGTCTTTGAGATTAGGGAGAGTCTTATTTCTATCTTCTAGTGAGTAGCACAATGTAACACACACAAGAAGTATTTTAGAAAGTATTTGTTGAATGAGTAAACGAATAAATAAAATCAACACTTTGTTAAATTTTTCACAGGATCATAGGTTCACAAAATTAGATTTGAAAGGCACCTTAATGGCCACCTAGCTATTAGCCATCCCTCCTCCTCTCGTTTTACAGATGAGGAAACTAAGAAGTAGAGAGATTAAATGATTTCTTAGGATCATACAACTATTAAATAGCCTGAGATAAGATTGTAATGTAGATCTTCCTGAATCAAGTCCACTACACTACACTAGTAGTGTCAAACTCAAATAGAAATGGATCACTGCAGGTCACATATTGACTTAGAAAACCACAAATTCACATCATCTACGTTGTATTGTATTTTCATTTTGTAAAACATGTTCCAGCTAGATTTTAATCTAGTTTGCACTGCATTTGGGAGTTGTGCCACTGGCTTTCATCCAGCTGGCCGTGAGTCTGATATCTCTTGCTTCACATACATCATGTTGCCTCCTAATTGTAACTGACTCTAAAATGTATGGTCAAGTGGCAATCCAAAATGCATTTCAGGAATAAGGCAATGCTTCTGTTACCCTTTCTCTCCTACAATAACGACATAGTTCTAGTAAAGTTTGTGCAATATAGTTTTATTAATTGACAGTGCAAATTTTACCAGACACACAGTCCCATAATAAATAAAACTCAAGGATCACTTGAAGCACATGAACATGCAGTCTTGTTTGGTACAATGCAAAGCTTTAACCTTCTGACAATATCGCTAATTGTGTTTAACAAAAATCTGGGAAAGACTGGAAGCTACCTTAGAGATGAATTCAAATAAATGGTAACACAGATCATTCCACTTCTACAACAGATTTTGGGCTAATGATTTCTGAAATTTTCATTTTAAAGCTATTTAACTATACCACAGAGCAAATCATATTTCTGAAACATTACAACATGAAAGTAAAACCAATAAAATAAAAACAAATTGTTCGAAGAGGGCTATAGTTTCCTCTCCTTTTTTATCATCATCATCATCATCAACATTAACATCATCATCACATTATGTTCTATTTTTGGCATGAATTCACTTTTTCCATCAGTAGGAAAATGTGTTCTGCAAACTCTCGGATGGCACCTCGGCCTCCATTGCATTTGCAAATATACCCAGAAGCCTTTTGGGCAATGGAGCAAGCATCAGCAGGAACCCCACTCATGCCAGCTTTTTTCAAGCATTCTTCATCAGAAACTTCATTTCCTAAAAAAAAATATATATATATACGCATTAAAGCAAATACTTATTAAAACACAAAAGCATTCTTTTTGGATTTAAATTTTGACTTCCAATTTAACTGATCCTTAAGTTGCTATCATTACCTATGAGGAAACATGCTAAGAGAGGTTAAGTCACTTGCCCTGGGCTGCACAGCTATTAAGTGTCTCAAGAGGAGTTTAAACACAGGTCTTTCTGACTCGAAGTCTACTGGTCTATTCATTGTGCTATACTGCATAGACAATAGGTCCACAAAATCTTGAGATTTTAGAAATGACTGAGGAGGTATTAAAATACAGTATAGGGAAAAGACTGCTGAATTTGAAGTAGTGGGTTTGTGTTCAAATTCTGCTTTTGCCACTTACCCTGTGATATTGGGTAAATCATTTCATGCCTCTGGGCCTCAGTTTCTGCACCCATAAAATGAAAGTGGTTTTTGCTCTGGGAGCACATCTACTCAAATTTAAAATTGGAATGATAAAGAGAAAGATTAGTATGGTTCATGTGTAAGGCTGGCTCAAAAATTCATGAAATCTTCCAGATTGTTGTTTTAATGAGGAGATTGTATACCAGATGACCTCCTAGGTCTGTTCCTGAGCTAAATCGCTATGATCCTTTGATCCATCTCCAACAGATGTTACCTGATGCAGAGACACTTGCCTCAGTGAGTGAGGTCAGCTGGGTGGTAGGGACTGACAAATGGGAGTTACCTGAATTTAAGCTTTCATTTCTCAATGGATAATGGAGCCTGTAGTGATAGTATGCAGAAGATATTTCAAAAGCAATTTTAATAACTTAAGATACAGTGTAACTGCAACAAGCTATGGAGGTACACACATATCTGGAGGAACAGGCCCACATTATTTTAGAAATACACGTGATAAACACCCATATGAATATAACATGGGCCAGGGAATCTTAACCTTTTTTTTGTGTTAGGCAATCCTGGTGAAACCTATGGAATTCTTAGAATAATGATTTTATTTGTATTTCTCTAATCAATAGTGATTTAGAGCATTTTTTCATATGACTATAGATGGCTTTAATTTCTTCATCTGAGAATTGCCTGTTCATATCCTTTGACCATTTATCAACTGGGGAATGACTTGTATTCTTATAAATTTGATCTAATTCTCTATATATTTTAGAAATTAATCCCTTATTAGAGACACTGGTTATAAAAATTCTTTCCCAATCTTTTACCACATCACACCTATCAGACTGGCCAACATGACAAAATAGGAAAATGATAAATGTTGGAGAAGATATGGGAAAATTGGAACACTAATGCATTGTTGGTAGAATTGTGAAATGATCCAACCATTTTAGAGAGCAATTTGGAACTATGCCCAAAAGGCTATAAAAATCTGCATACCCTTTGACCCAGCAATAGCACTTCTAGGGCTGTATCCCAAAGAGATCATACAAATGGGAAAGGCCTCACACGTACAAAAATATTTATAGCAGCTCTTTCTGTGGTGGCAAAGAATTGGAAATTGAGGGAATGCTCATCAATTGGGGAATGGCTGAACAAGTTATGGTATATGAATGTGATGGAATATTATTGTGCTATAAGAAATGATGAGCAGGAAGACTTCCGAAAAACCTGGAAAGACTTGTACGGACTGATCCTGAGTGAAGTGAGCAGAAGCAGGAGAACGTTGTACACAGTAATAGCCACATTGTACGATGTCTAACGTTGATAGACTTAGCCCTTCTAAGCAATGCAAGAATCTAAGACACCTCCAAAGTTCTCATGATGGAAAATGCTATCCACATCCAAAGAAAGAACCATGGAGTTTGAATATAGATCGAAGCATACTATTTGCTATTTTTTTCTTCCGTTTTGGTTCCTTTTTTCTGTGGTTCCTCCTACTGATTCTAATTCTTCCTTATAACATGACTAATGTGAAAATATGTTTAATAGTAATGTATATGTAGAGCCTATATCGAATTGTGAGCTGTCTTGGGGAGGGAGGGGGGAAAGGAGAGAGAAAAATTTTAAACTCAAAAGTTTATGGAAGGGATTGTTGACAAATCAAAATAAATTAATATAAAAAGGAATAATGTTTTTAAAAGCATAAAGTAAGGGGCAGCTAGGTGGAGCAGTGGATAGAGCTCTGGCCCTGGAGTCAGAAAGACCTGAGTTCAAATCTGGCCTCAGACACTTTAACACTTAACTAGCTGTGTCATCCTGGGCAAATCACTTTACCCTGATTGCCTCATCAAAAAAAGAAAAAAAAATGGAGGAATATAAAGGAAGCCAATTATATTGAAATACAGTTATCAAAATACCAAAGAGAAAGTTCACATATCTGATATTAAGAATTCCTGGACAGGAAACAAATTGAGCTCTAAATTTTCCCCAACATAATTCAATCAAATTAGTTTACAGGAAACTGTATTGAGTAAGGATGTAGGGTTCTGGTTTCCAAATGCCACAATTATCATACATAAATTTTATGTGTAGATCAGTTTTCAAAGAATTAGAATAAAATGCAGCCTGCACATTATTACTCAAGGCAAAATAAACTTTTAATCATTTAATTTAGTAATTGACTTTTTCTTCAGTGCTTGTGCAGAGGTCATTTGAAAGCCTTACTGTGCCTGCCTCACAGCTCAATTGTTATTACAGTGTAGGGATTGTAAAGCACTAATGATCAAGTTCCAGTTACTACAGTGCTAGATGAGAATTTACTCTAACCTGTTTTAATCTTTTCCACTCTGAGAATTCTCCACATTTCTAACAACTATATGAAATGTCTAAGCAGTCCTTCAAAGCCTGCCTCAATCTGGCTCCCACTTAGAGAAAACAAGAAGCTACTGCTTGGAGCACACTCTTCTTCCCTCTTCATACCATGCATCAATCTCTCCTCCTTTACTCCAGCTTCTGTTAATAAAGTGATCTTTCTTCTTCCTAAGGTCAAGGCCAACCCTTCTGCATGTGCCCTCGGTCTCAAGACTGTCATCTTCTCTGCCTGCCTGCCCCCTCAATCACCTTCTCTACCAATTTGTTCCTCCCCACTCCCTTCAGCACGTCCAAGTATTCTTCTCTAATCTAGAAAAACATTCATTAAGAATAGTCTAGATCCTTTCAAGCTGTCATCCTACATTGCTCCTCCCTTTCTCAGCCAAACACCAAAAAAACCATCTATGCTCACTGTCTCCACTTCCCCTTCCCTTACGCATTTTTCAAGTCTTCGAAATCTGGCATGAGATTTTGTTGCTTGTCTGAAACTACTCACTCCAACGTTACCAATGACTTCTTACTTGCCAAGTCTAATGGTAGTTTTTCAATCCTCATTCTTTTTGACCTCTCTGAAGCATCTGACAATGTGAACCACTCTCTCCTGCCGGTCAGTAAGTTAGGCAATGAGCATTTAATTCCGGAATAACCATTTCAGTGAGTGGGACATGTGAAAGGATTGCTTTGCTGAATTGAAAGTCCAGTCGATTATGTAACATAAATCTGAAGTGGATCAAATCAGCATCATCTTGTGATTCCCATCAGTTCTATTCAGCTCTATGTGAATAGCACTGAAGGAGACAGAGAGTGGGACACTGGGGTTTGGAAGGCGTGATTGGTAATAGGACAAAGAGTAAGGGATTCAAAAAGAAAATGTAAAGTTGAACCAATTTACAAAAGGTTCAAGATAAAGAGGAGAAGAGAGTATATCCACTGAAGGGGTGATGGAATGGGAAGGAACTGAAGGATGGAAGGATTAGTGGTCACAGTAAAGACAAACAGGGACAACAGCCATAAGGCATAAGGAAATATGGAATGGTAAAAGATTATGATCAGATAAACTTCAGAGTTCATGAACACGGAAGCAGAATACTTGTAGTTGTTAGTAAGATCAAAAGTATGACTATCTCTGCATGGAGCTGAGCTGGAGTGGAGAAACAAATCATTAAAGCTCAGTTATTGAGGAACTGGGAAGTTCTGATAGCTGAGCAAGCATCAAAATGCAAACTGAAGTTCCCTACTGCATATGAGGGCAGCAGGAGTTGGCATGGAGCCAGTCCAGGCCCTGAACTCACTGAGGAATGAAGGAGAACTTACTGAACGTCAACAGTAAATGGTCACAAGGATCTAGATTGGATGATAGATTTGGACAATGTGAACCTCAAAGGAGGAGAGGCTACTGAGTGATGGTGGTTGAAGGAAAGTCTGGAAGTGGCACTATGAAACAAGGAGCATTCTGACTCCCCTGCCATGAGCAGTCACGAGGTATGAGTGATGTATTCTTTTCTCCATTTCCTTATCTATAAAATGTACAAAATACCCATAGATTCACATGTGAAAGATGAAATCCTAACTCCATTTTATTATGAACGAATAACAAGGTACCCACCTAGATATGCCACTTCTTTCCAACATAAACCCATTTCTTTTCTCCATTCATCTACAACTGCTAGCTTATTGGATATTCCAATTTCCATCCTCAAATCCAGTTTTAAAGAAGACAGTGTCTGTTTTGAACAGGGCCTTTCAGAGATTAGCCTCACCTATGAAAAAGATGAAAACATTATAGCATTACAAGTTTAAAAAAAAAAACCAACAGAAAAATTCTTTAAAAATAATAGCTCCAGAATATAATACAAGTCAACAAAATGAAGTTATTTGACATCCTGAGATATTATTTTAAGGAAAAAGAAATAATTTTATATTTAAAATGTGATTACTGTAACGTTTTTCTGTGGTGCTTCCACAGAGTAAAAGACTTCAGGGTAAAAATGACATATAAATTATCCCATTCTGATAAATAAGGCAGCTCTAGCATCCAGAACATGGGAGGCGATAGCTCCACTGTGCTTTGTCCTGAGGAGACTCCATTTGGAGAACTTAATTCCTGTTGCCATATTTTAGGAAGGCCACTAACAACTTGAAAAGTATATAGAGGAGGGTGACCAGGATAGTGAGGGGCCTTGAAACAATGGAATGGATAACAAAAGGAATTGTGAAAGTTATCCTAGAGAAGATTTAGGTAAAACATGGTAACTATCTTCCTGTGTATAAATAATTTTCATATGTTAGAAGACTTAGATTTTGGTTGGCCCTAAAGGACAGATGAGTAGAAGCTGCAAAGAGGCAGATTTAGGCTCAATATAAGGAAAAATTCCCTAATCATTGGGGCTATCAAAAATGGAACGGGCTGCCTTTGAGAGCCTACTAGTCAGGAATTTTGTAGAGGGTATTTCTTTACAGGTAAGAGTTAGACAAGATGGCTTTTGTAGTCTCTTCCATATTTTGAGATTCTATTACAAAAATTTTAATCTCAGGATTCTCTCCCTCAATTTTCTGTAAAACTAAATAAAAATAAATGTATGTATACGTAATAAATATAATATAATTCAGTGGGTAAATACCTCAATATTACTTTTCTTTAATAAACTGATCCCAATTGAATCTCTAACATCATAAGATATTATTTCTTCTTGGTTTCCTGATACATAAATGTGACCATTGGTGAGACATCCATCAATATTGCAAACTAGGAGCTTTATTTCCTTAAGCTTCTCTTTGCCAAAATAGCCATATCTGAA